GCATATCTAATAACAGTCCATAGATAGCAATCTTCGTGTGACAGTCGTCGCGTGTTTGAAATCTTTGTCCGCAGCCGTTTTTTCTTTATCTTTCTTCGTTTTTTGAGATCATCAACCTCATTCGTCCTCATTCCCTTTGTTTCGACAAATTAGAGAAAACGTTTATTTTACATAAAAATATACAAAAAGTACCCATAAAATCATAGAAAGATCATGTTATTAAGTTCTTTGGAAGAGGAGAGTCTCACAGACTCTTCTTGTAATGCTTGTTCGACTGTGACGACGATTGTCCCGCTGGAGAGACAGATTCTGGACTTGTGGGGTCTCTAAGGATTTCAGCCAGACTGTTGATGTACTCTTGGGCCATTTGGAGAGTTTCGAATTTGGAAAGACGACGACCAGAGTCTATTTCCGGAAGAACTGTTCGAAGCTGGAAATACGTCTAGTTAGATAATCGACAGGAGTTTTCCTTTTCTGATTTATGGGCTTGGAAAACCGGAAAGAAATTTGAATTGGCGCACGTTTCGAGTTGAACGTCCTTCACATACGGTACAGAAAGCCATATGGGATGGGAAATACAGTACTACTGCGTAAAATAAAGGAATTCATAGAAAAAAATAAAATTACCTTATCATAAGCAACGTTGAGATGGTTCATTCTCTTCCTTTCTCTCTCGTTGGCTGCTGTTCGTCGTAAGCGGAGAACTTGAGGAGAGGGGGTTTTGTACTTGCGACTTCTCTTTTTCTCCAAGGAAGTAGAGGAGTTATCGGTTTGAACAGACATAGGAGATGGATAACTGAGAAAAGAAAAAGATTATTGAGAAGCTCATATGCTCACTTACCCCATGTTTGGAAAGAAGGATGGTGATTGCATAGGTGTGCTGTAGCTGGAATAGTTGAAAGTTGTACTAGGTGGGAAGTACATGGAGAACTGATCGAAAGTAGATGCTGTGGAAGAGCTAGCGGACATCATATCTTCTTGAATACCTAATTTGGTAGACTAAATTTCTTGGTTGATAGACTTGGAGGTGGTACTGCATAGACTCCGCCCCTCTTCTTGGGTTGGTAGGCGGTCGGAGGTAAAGGGATACGGTAAAGACCGATGGGTGTCTTTTGTCTCGAAAAAACGGAAAGTAGAAAGAAAACAAAGTTTTGTGAAATGTAAATGTGGAAAAGCCGATCCGATCAGTTCATTTTGAAATGGAAACTTCAAAAACACCTGTTGACAGAGCTGGGAGTTAATTACAGGAACCTGTTGGACAATATGGACAAGGTGGGTCAATAGCACAGCATGAGCGTCATTTCTGACATCAATTACTGAAATTGTGAATAAACACGGATGATAATATCTCGAGAATAAGCATATTCGTCTCTGCTATTGCATAAGGCTAAATGGAAATTACGTCTGTGAATGAGGAATTTCCAACAATTATCTTCGAGACCCATCGAGGAGTGCCAAAACAGTCCCGACGGGAAGAGAATCCATCAACTGATAGTTTCAGATAAAATCTTAATGTCTACGGGATGTCAAGATTCGAGCAGCTACCTCACGCCTCATCAACCCGTGAACACAAGTCTCAACTGCTTACGAAGGTCAATAAGACAATCCTCAACTGGATTAAGCCGAATCCTTCTTGTCAAAGAGTTCCGACAAGTTAACTTTTCCAAGTTGCGGTTTGTGTGATGAGCAAGGACAGTTTAGCTATAAATTTGTTCCTCCATTAGTTCTTTATGAGCTTCGGCTGTCGACAGAACTTTCCCAACTCAACCTCTAATTACGAGCGTCTGCCGACAGCAACATTTATATAATCCACTAAATGATCGAGAAATTTGAGT